GTCAGACTGCATGTCAACTGTCAGATTCCCATGTTTCTTGAGAACCGCTGCCCAGCAGCAAGCCTCCTACTGCAAAAGCATGCAGTTAATGCCTGTGCATGAGGAGGTGGGAAGTCATTTATAAGTTTCTCCCTGCTCTACCCTCACAAGCCGGGACAACACAGCCCTAGCTAACCCAAGACCTGCAACTCATTTGATTCCGAGAAGGAGCTGGGACAACAGCATCCCCCCCTACCAGCACCAGTTGGGAGCAAACTTTCATAAGAATTATTGAAAATCGGTGACATCTGATATATATCTTTTCAATTTGTAAAAATAACCTTTTATTGTCCAACAATAATAACAATTCCTAAAACAAGATTAACCAGAACCACAGAGTAAAACTTTTTTGGAGGCATATTCTTATCAGCCATGGTTAAGATGTTGTAAAAGAAGTATCTTTTAACACCTTTTATTATACAAGGGTCAAGGGGTTTTATGTTTCTTAAAAGTGGCTTCAAATAGCCCACATAGTGGGTTACTGCATCTTTCATATGGCTGCTGTATAAACAAGCACGTTTTATACAGGAAATGACATAATCATGTAAAAGTGTACATGAAGTTTAGGCACATATTCAAACTCTAATGGGAATGCATTGTTTTAAATGGCATAGTTGTATGTTTACCTATTCAGCTTAGTGCTCATATTTTAGCCAAATACAACAAAAATTACCCTCATGTACCTGTCTCATAGTGTACAGTTTATTTGAAATTTGGACCTTTACAAAGGCTCACTAGGGACAGATAATGACCCTAGAAAGTAAATACAAATGAGGCACACTCAGAGAAAGAGAGAGAGAAAGCTGCCATCATAAGGGTGGAAAGTTGAACTTTTAACCTGTATTATTTTACCTCTCATGTTTCTTCACATTTTTACCATTTGGCTAATGCCAGTTGCCCAGTGAAAAATGGGCCAATTGGCACTAACAATAATTTGGGATGCCAGTTTTCACACTTTGAATTAGAATCTGGTAGTTGATAGAAAAATAGATGTAGAATCTTAGTGGTTCTAAAGCCTTCTCCTGTTTTTTTATGTTTCATCATATTTCTAGATATTGGTTGCACAGGCAAACACATTCATAAAGGTACCCATGAAATTTAACAGGATATAATCGCCAGCAAGCATGTCCAGGGTTGCAGCCACCTTTGGCCTCAAGGTCCATAATGAAAGCTGGTTCAGTGAGGAGAACTAATACCACTTTGGCACTGAAAGCAATATGTTTTAGGCTGTCCTGCTTTCTTGTCTGGAAGTTGTCAAACAAATGCCCCAAAGATGTTTACAGGCAAGGTGAAGCTGGTGTTCTAGAAAATCTGTTAGCCGTAGTATAATGGCCACAGCTGGACAATTTCTGACTATCATGATTATCAACTACCAATAAACCTATCTTTGATTAATGTATCTAGCGCCAAAGGTAGGTAATATTTTTAGTCCCAGACATTGCCAAAAAACCTCAAACATCTACCTGTGAAGATGGTGGAATCCTAGCAAACAAAGCAAAGCAAAAGGTGATTGGGAAGGGCAGAGGAAGATTGTACTTAGCTAGACACACTAAAGCCTCAGCAGCACTGCCAGTATCTCATGAGCACAGCTTGGGCAGACAATGGTCTGGCATGCCACTGTTTGGCATCGTGTGCCGGGAGGTACTTACCTGTTAGAAAGCCATTTATGTTGGGGGCCATCATAGCAAGAATTCCATACTATTTTGAGAGGAAATAGTACTTTCTAAATGTGCAAGCAGTTTCTATAGGTGCCCTCATTAAGAGTGACCTGTTTTCTCTGCTCAGTATTTTCTACTTAATATTTTCTCTGGGGAAAAACCCATCTAATTTTCAAAATTGTGTGCTTCTTGGAGTTCCTTTCCTAGCTACCCTTAAGAATTCTGTGGGACCATGTCCTTGTAATACCTTCCTTTGCCAGCTGAGTAAGAGTTGCTGTTGTACCAAGAAGAGATCCAGGTGACTTTAAAATATCCTATTTACACACAAAGCAAGTCTCTTCTGTTCACTTTAGGGATTGGTATGTAATATGGTGGCTTATAGTTAAAGGTAAAAAACCCACTGTTTATAGATGGATTAACAGAACCATTTTCTGCTGGCCTTGAAGTGATCTTTGTATTTACTATGGGAAGATCCATCTTTTGAAGGTGCATACATGTACTAGGCTTCTCTGTCCATAAGCTTTACAAACCCAATACATTATAGGGATGCATTCTAATAAGACTGGGATAAATTAAGTTGAAATTTTATGCTAAATTATATCTTGTATCTGTGTTCATTTAGCCACTGATCTAGCTTTGTATATATCACAGGGGAAATTTCACTCCCCATTTTGATAAGGCATAAAATATACATGTAGGATTTTGCTAAGGAGAAACTATTTCTGCTAGTTTACTATGCATAGCACTCAATAGCTGGCCCTTGTGACATTACAAAGCTACCTTTACCACCACCTGGAAGCAGTTTTCCATTTTTTAAAAAATTATGTTTTAAAAAGTTTTTTTTAACCAAAAGGAAATACCTAAAGGCAACAAGGAATCCTGAGGCGAGTATCTGTGTCATTTGAAAAGTCCAAGTTGAGGAAGGAGGATGCCCAGCTCACCCTGCATCTGGAAACACCCCCCACAATAACTCCACTTTTATATGTAAACAATATACTCCCCTATTGCTTTCCACTTTCTGTCATGGCATGCAAATATGTAAATATCAAAATAAGTAGGCTTTCACAAACACAATGAATGCAATATTCTCCTCTCTGAAGGAAATGACCCGTATCTTGAATTTTGCATTGCAGACAATTTATACCATCAACCATGGCTCCCTGCTTTTATAATGTTGCATACTAGGTGGTCTCTTCTAAATAAATGATCTTAAAAAAAAAATTGGTTGCTCGTTTCATGCATTTAGCAACTATATAGCTGGTTTATCTTTATATAAGGATTTTGCCAGTGGTGCCATTAAACATTTGGGAATTAACTGCTACTTTCTTCTATGGCATGATTTAATGTGCAGTCTTCTGCATGAACAAGCTGAAATTCTGCTGAAGTACAATTTTGTAGCAAGGCACAGTAAGGTACTTAGACAGCTCTCAGAGTCAAGGAGATGAAGCCATTCACTTGTTACTGTCTGAAACTTCCCCTTTTCTACTCAGTTAAGTGCATGGTAAAGAAAGAATCCAGGCTTCTGAGAACACCTAGAACATGGAGCTGGATCTTACATTTACTAATATTTATATGTTACAAACTGATCCCAAATACATTTTCCACATTAGCAACCTTTAAGATTTTTAGTGTTGGGTTTTGTGTTTTGTCTAATCATGTTATATTAGAGTTCACTATAGCCTTTTGCATCTGTTAACACTGGAGTGTATAATATCCAGTTGCTTGCCTGTGTAAATGACAATATAGAAAAATGCAATAAAGGATCTATTGTATTAAAATATTACAGTGCAGAATAAATGAAGCCACAATCCAACACAATTTTAAGCATACTTCAGTACATTGAAATTAGTGGACTTAAGCACATGCGAGTTGCAACTCTGTAGTGGATTATGGCTTACATTTACAGTACAAAATGTAATGGCTCACTATCCCAATACAATCTTAGAAAGTAAAAAAGTTACTGCTGTTTCAGTTGCCATTTGGTATTTCAACAGTCCCCTCCAGAGAAGATACAAGTAATGGGAATTGATATACATTATACAATGACATAATGCTCAAAAAACAGTCTGCCTGACTCATAAACTCCCTTGTTTTTATTAACTAAACAAAAACACTAAAAAGACTTTTAATAAAATTATATTTATGGTAACTATGGCATCTAAATACAAAATATTGTCAATAATTTAATACACCTTAAGCTATTTTTTTGCTACAAACATTAGAAGGCAGCTTGGATTTTAAACAGAATAATAAAGTAGTCTGAACATAACATTTCAAAAATGGATATTTAAGAAAGATATGAAGCTGAAATAAAATATACATTAAAAGAAATAGATTTGGCTGCATTTCTCTAAATTCATGAATAATGTGTACAGTTTAAAAATAAATCAACATTCTATTAAATGACTCTGTTACAAATATACAGTTTTAAGAATTCATCTGAAAGACTGCACATAACGTTTTGTGCTATACTGACTGCTCCATCTATTACATGTTATATAGGTATCGGGATTCTTCCAGACAGACAATGAGCATAGGGTAAAGATTAATTAATATGTTCAGGTCTTTTAAAAGTGTCAGAAATTGAAAGTTACTACCATACAAGCAACTCATATTGAATTTGCCACCGTCATTAGAGATTCAAACGTCTTTATGATGTAACCATCTAAATGTCATTTAAATAAGGGTTTTCATATTAAAAATCTTATTCTGTGTGAGTCCGGGAATAATAAATTAGTGCTAGAATGCATTGAAACTGAAGATATAAAAGCTAAAAAATCTCAGCAAGTTTTGCCTGTTTCTAGTCCTCTAAACCTATCCTACCCATTAAAACATATCCAGCCTGATCCTATGAGATGTTTCAGTAACATAAGTAGAGTACAGTGCAACAACTGCTGCACCTGTTATCATGACCTGTGACTTGGCAACAGTTCCAAGACATTGCACTGGTGCTCCAGAACATATCACAGCCGCTATCCTGGCAAACTTTACAGATGTGGCATACCATGACTGCATACAGCTTCAGAGTTGAACAGAATAGGGTAGGCATGAGATATGATAATTATTTGACTATCTAGTACCAAAAAGGAGCTTTTGTCACCACAGAGTCCACTGTGTCTGCACAATCTTGCATGACCCATGGCAGTAGTTTAGCAGAGATTGCAAATGAGGCATTGTAACAAAACAGTTGTGTTACTTGCCAACATTATGATGCCACTGTTGTCAGCACTTAGTGTGATGTCATAGTGCTTCTGTAGAAATACCAGTTGTCTTTTTATCAGTTACGACTGTGAGACTGTGCTGCTACCTACAGCCACATGACTCCACTACCATGTCTTCATATTGTTTGTAGACTACATTATTAGCGGAGTCAATAAACAGAATGCTAATAGGACTCAGCCTTGTTGGAACACAGCAAGTTGGAGGAGTTGACTCTGGGTCCATAGAGTTCATTAAGGTTTGAATAACAGCATGGTTGGTGGGTTCCAGATGAGACCGAAGAGGAAATTCACAAAGTCCTTCACAATGATAAGCTTCGTACTCCAGTGGGGCTATTATCCAGTCATCCCAGCCCATATCCTTAAAATTTACATGGAGTGCTTTTTTACTACACCTGGCCTTTAGGTTCTTATTGGGCCTCTTGCCTTGTCGAGTTGCTAAAGGAGCTCGTCTCTTTCTTCTTTGATTGAATAGGTATTCATATACCGTTTTGTCATCCTGGCCAGACCTGGCCTTTATTTCATTGAAAAATAAATCTCTTTTCTTTGTCCTACCAAATACTAAGAAGAGAGCCTTTTCATTGACTTGCCTCCCTGTTCTATTGAACCCCACAGTCCTTAAATCAATAGGCCTCCCCCTTTCAAAAGCTTCCAGTTCAAAACACAAGTTAGCAGAGTTTTTAAAATTCCTAAAAAGTTTCCAAATGTCAAACACTTCCCATTTTGCTGCGTCAATTATATTGACTGTCCGAGAGTCCAAGAGGATTGAAGCTTGCCTGCTTGTGGAGCAACTGAATAATTTCACTTGACAGGTTTTCCCATGAGAATGCGACTTCCAAGTGTCAGAAGGCTTCTTCCTTAAAATGCGCAGTTCAGCTCCTAGTAAGCCATCTTTTTCTAATGCACTGATATCAAAAATGTATTTCTGCTTTTTAATAGCTGGAGTCCGATCATCTAGAGAGAGAAAGACAGATTTATGTTTTCCATTTGATAATATACAATTGGGAGTTGTAAAATTACACTATGGGGCAGCAACAAGTTCACACTCTGTGGAGGTTTACTAGAATAATATTTTGAGCAGTTCTCACTCACATGGAAGGACTTTGGTTTGTTCTTTGTGTCTCTGCTGTCCCCCAAAATGAATACACTGTTCTAAGGCTAATCAATGTGATTCAATGTCCAGTCTAATGTATTGAGGAACAGGGTACCATACTACTTATTTGATACAGTGAGCTTGTGCTATCCATAGGTTTATGGTAATACCACAATAAAAAAGGATTGAGCCATGCATTGGATGTGCTTTCATAGGTAGATGATTTTAAAAAACAACAGCAACCAAAACCATATAATAGTTCATAAATCTCTGAAGGCAAATACCCTAAGATGTGCTATCCACAAAGACAGCTGCCTTATCACAGCTTCTCATTCATCTTTACATTTATTTACATCCTGCCAGACCTCATTCTATTTAAATGAATTGTCAGAGACCGACACAAGCAGAATTATCCAAGCTCACTTGCACACCACATCCATTCATTTAAATGGCACTTGTGTACTCAGCCTCATTGCCCATTGATCCATTCATCATTCACAGGTTGCGCTGATTGCTTTGGGGCACTTTGAGGTTCTGGGGAAGAATGTGGATGGACCCCTGAGGTCCTGTACTGGACCCCTCGTCATTGAAATGGGACATTTCCTGCTTTTTTAAAATAGCAAAATATACTTAAATCAATTTGTTTATAACAGTAAAGATTATCCCTTTATTTGGTTCTCCCCAAATTTAACAAAGTTTAATTAGCCTTTTAACAGATACTGACTCATCTGGTCTTGCTCTGGCAGAGACATTACTGTCAGATGCTTTTACATGCATGCTCTGCAGACAATAAAACCATTTAATATCGCTTACATAGTCCTGATGAAATTAGCAAAAGGTTTACACAGCTTTCCTGGTCCTTGTACAAATACCCAAATCTGGAAATGTCTCAAGTTATATAATTTTGTTCATATTTCAGTCAGCCAGGTACTTGTACATGTCGGAGTATTTTCAAGTAATAGCAGGCAAGCACTTTGGACACATGAATAATGTGCAAAAATTACATTTTCTTACCTTGCCCTTTGTCTATGAAACTCGTGATTGTGTTTGCTAGTCCTGTTTCCAGTTTGACACTTCCATTAACGCCTTTTCGTTCTGCATCAGAAAGAGTCCTGTATAAGGACAGCATGTACTCATGTGGCGTGATAGCAGGATGTCTGAATGCATCCTTAGAGTCCCTTTGGACAATGGGTTCTTTAGTCTTTTTGGCTTTGTAGGAACTGGCATCTGCATTCCCTGTGCCAGGTTTCTTCAGTGGGCCCTTGCCCAAGTTCTGAACCTTTGGGGTCACAGTCCTTATTCCTGATTGTCTCTGTGTAGGTAGTCCTACCTTTTTGTCTGTGCTCCCTGCTCTAGGGAGAGTCTTCTTAGAGTCATCAGTCTTTGCCAAGGGAGGTCCAGCTTGAGCAGTATTACTTTTTGTCCTTGGCTTTGCATTCCCAGCACTGTATCCATGGCTTCCCGTTCTAAGGGTACCTGCCCTTGGCACAGGATTCCTTTCTTTTCCATCTATTTTTGACAATCCTAATTTGGATT